GGGTTGAGAATGGCCAATAGACATCTCTTTAGTAGTGAGTTTGAGAGTGGTAGGGCTCACCTGTCCATGATAATGGAAATTATTCCCAAGAGGAGCAAATTCGTCTAACGTCGTTGCTTACAGGGAGATTGAATCAACATCAAGAGTCCCGTCCTCCTTTTGATAAGAGTCAGTTCCTTCACTACTCGTACTAGAATTCTATTCTTGACTGGATCGTGAGCATATATGAAATCAATCGAAAGCATTGGTACTGGTTGGAATGACTCTGTCTCACTGGCAGGCATCAATAGACCTGAGGTTCACTGGCTCAAGGGCAGGACAGGGACAGCTACTTACTAGCTTGAGGAACCGAGCTAACAAAAGGCCTAGAACACTGACCGAAAGTCCTCTTTGCTGCTTAATGGCCTTCTATGAGGTTTTTCTATACCTCTTCGTCCTTCTTCCTTTGTTACTTACTTTGTTACAGATGTCGTACCTCTTCAGTCTATTGCTCCTAGGCCTATGGGTTCTAGAGTAGAGAGAATTCCTATTGACTGTCTTTCCCTCGGGGGAACTCCCTTAATCCCAGAAGTGACGGAACTATCTTTATCTTCTCTTCCGAAAAGAGATGAAGTAGCCATGTTTGCAGCGCTTATGCCTGCAACGTAAAGAGCATTTGCGTATACGACATCTCATTCGGTTTTTCCTTTGGTTCAATGTAGGCTATCTTTATATAGAGTGGTTTTGATACCCTTTCGTCATTCCCTTGCTTGACAGTGAGGGAATCCTAAGTACGTCATTTCACCAAGCAGTCCTTCCTGCACTGAAAAGGGGGGAAGCATCAAATTCCATGCCTCCCTCCCTATTGAATGGAGTTGCCCTATTATTAACATTTTCTGAAATAAGTCCTTCTCTAACAAATCTACCAAGGAAAGATGCCACCGAACCGCCGAACATTTCTGTGAGGAGAGCCTCCTGAGCGGAGACCATTCAAGAAAATCAACTGCGCCTTGGCCCAATTGAACTTCAGATGGGGCGGGTGTCAGCTCCTTCGGTCTCAACACCTTAGTCACGAGCAATAACACCCTTGACATAAGGATTGAGTGGCAGGCCGAAACCTAAAACGCTTCGCAAACTCTGCAGAACCACTATGAGAGATTAGGGATTTTGAATAGGATATAGTTACTCCTAAATCCCCCAAAGCGGCGCTATAGACTTTCGCTACACTCTCATCAACAATGACAACATCATCTCTAAGGATCGCATAATCCCGGAAACGACGTCCCGGATATACTAGCTCTGCACACCACCACACTAATACTAATATATGATGGGAGAGAGCAAAGAGAGGCCAAGACGCATAGTAATAACCAAGCGGTTGACCGGCAACAAAGGAAACAGTGGAGTGCCGCTTAACAAACGGCACTTCAAACAGATTAGTGGCCAGTGCCGAATTAACAACACTAGACGCAAGCAAAAGATCTGTCAAATAAGAAGCACATGATCCTAAATAAGAAGTACAAAGGCCACCTATCTGTGGCTGACTTCAAATAAAAGGAGTAACATGTCTGCTTACCTTTGAGACGATCAAGCGGTGCCGTCTGCCAAAAGCATCCTGAGGCAGCCTTTTAAGGATGACACACAACCACTCATGAACCGGCGCGCTGGTTCACGTAGTTGCCTATAGCAAATATACGCCTTCTCCCCGCACCCTCTAACGAGCAACCCAGTCTGCCTGTGACGATCTGCTGATAACCCACGTTAGCAGGTAACATTGGACCAACACACCTCTCAAACCAATCAAGTGACCAGCCAGAGATGATCTTATTAAAATCATACCTAGCATAGCGCACATAATGTGGCCAGAGAGCACCTTGCGACCATTGTTCACCCCGAGTATGAACAAACTGCATAAGATGAACAAATGCAGAGAGCTCATATGGGAAAACATTGAAGCAAGATTTGGCTTTCGCCAGAGACGGACTTAGACCATCCTTCAGTAATTTCTTTGTTAATTGAGAACATGAAGGAAGTTTTCCAACTTCCAAGTTGGCTCCCAAGTAATCCCTTAACAAATTGGTACATTCGATCAAAATCCTCAACAGGTGAAATCATGGAAGTAAAAGTGGAGGCATCCACCCTACCCTCTTCGCCACAAGAATAATTCTTGCAAGCGAAAAGAGAGACAACCAACACTTCACCAATATGTCAGCCGTGTCGTCCCGTTTGTACATCTTATGACGCACAAAGGATGGAATGATTCGAGGAAAACCCGACCTGGATAGAGAGACAGGTACAGCCAGACGCTCCGGAGGGCGCTTATCTCCTCCATACGCCATCTGGAGAGAACTTGAGCACTGCTTAAGATAAAGCGCAGTGAACAAGGGTCCAGACTTAGTATATAAGCGTCTGACTTCCTTAGCATATAAGTAGAGTGCAATGCAGGACTCCTTGGTTAAACCATCAGCGACTACTAATAGAATCTTTTTTAAGAATCCGTCGGCAAGTGTTCGAACACTCGCTGCCATTTCAACGGCGAAACACGAGTGAGAGAAGAGGAATAGAAAGAAAACAATGTTCATGCAATGCTGTAGAGCTAGGTTCCCTCCGGGGGTTGGGGAACACTGCTTCAACGGGAAAAAGAAGAGAAGCGGATATTCCAAATCCGATTATCGTATAGTGATGGAGGAAGGAGAGCAGCAATCGTCTTCATGCCATCTTCATTCAGTTGAATGCCGCAGATCGTCTTCTGCATAGGATAGGATTACTACTAAGAATGCATTCTTCATCTGCGGAGCCTTATCCCGCCGATGTGAACGAATCGTCTGAATCAAAGAATTCCTCTTCTCAACAGCAGCCGTTAGGCCTCCCACCAATAGTTCAGTCGGGAGAGAGCGGCGTAGAGGAGAGATAGGTTCAACAAGCCCTAGCCCAGAGATTCAAGAATTCAATTAGTTAGCGAACGGCCTGAAATGCCATCTACTCTTTCCGCTTACCTTCCAAGGCAAGGTAGGTAGCAGTAGCAGCTTTGTAAGGTAGTTTTCCATACCCTGCAGTAGCCGACTTATATGACTTTGCTTCAACCGGGCTAGGAATGACTTTCTTGTTCGATCTCCTTTCCTTTCTTCATAGGCCAGATTCCTCTATCAATCTCCTTGCCGGCAAAGTGCTTATCCTTACTTAACCGGCTTAGCGCTCGCTGTCTGATTGCTTTTCCTGAGCTAGGTAAATCCTTCTTCATAAGCCGGTTAGTCTATCCATCTGATCTTTCGAGTCGCTCATCTGATCCTCTCTTTCCTGCTCTTGCCTCTCTGTCTGCCCTAGGGTTGGTGTGGCACCTAGGCTTTCTGACTTTCCTGAGCTTGCCATTCCCAGCCCCTAGAGGAATAAATACCCGTACACACCGCCAAATCCATCTTGCGCGGACGGGAGACGATGATCGAAGTCTGACTGAAGTATGGGACGAGAACTCGCTGATTTAGATTCGAATCAAATGAAAGCTCCATTTCTTTTGACAAAAGATTTGAGTTGCTCGTCAGCCTCCTCGAACGCAAGAGCTCGCAGTCTTCTTCTTTTTCTTGCTCCGCATTAGCTATCCAAAGCTACAGCTTTTGAGTAAACTCTTCCTCTTTCGAACGGCCTTCGCTTGCTTCAATGTTGACGTGAATACGCTTGCAGGTTGAAGATTCCCTACTATTGAAGACCTTCACAATGTTGCTTGCCGTGCACATTTCAGTACTAAGGCTTATATTTTGTCCGCTTACCCCTATCTAGGTTGGCTCGCTTCGTGACACACTAAGGCCCGGGGCCTACGCTTTCTCTTTGGCTTGACGCGCTACTATGCCGGAACGTCGTACGGATCTTTTTTTAGGGGTGTCAACCGGATGCAGAACGTGGGGTTCGACTGTTAACAAGAGGCATCCGATTGTTATTTCCAATTTTATGAGGAGGGTCATAAGTGGAAGGATCGGACTGAACTACATTCACTGAATTCGAAGGACCGGACTCACTTGTCCTTTTTGTGTGGGTAGCAGGTCCTGAATGATACTGGGATTAGGAACAACTTGCAGCGGTGCTGCAGGAAAGACGATCGACCCTGATTCAATAAGGTCCTGGATCTTGTTTCCAGGGTGGCAATTCTTGTTCCCTCTTCTTTTTACCCGGGGGGCCGCCTTGCGCAGCTTTAGAAAGGAGAGAATTTAAGAAAGTCACTCTCTCCAACCTTTTCTATCTATCCTTAGAAGTTGGGCGAGAGAAAGTCAATATGATATTTGCGTTGGCGAAACTAAGCACTTTTCTTTTTCTTTCTCATTCGGAAGGCTCAGTCCCACACTCTGACTTCAATGATGGGAACAACCTCCGCACTCCGGCGCTCCAATGAACAACAGTTCTCCGCCTTACTTTCTTTTTTATAGTGGTCGATCCCTCGGGAGTTACATTCGTAACTTAATGTTATGTTCACGCGGTGATATTATATCTTTCCAAGAGTACTACCCTGTACGTAGTCTATGTCTGGGGAGCATACTTGACAGGAGATAGACACAGGCGGTAGAGAGGTCCCCCACTTCGATTCCCGCCCCGTTAGCATCTCCGATCCGAGATAAGGGATTAGTCCGTTAGGTCTTTTCGGTCCGGAGCCGGCCGGTAATGGACCTACTTACCTTGCTTGTGGACCAGCTGCAGAGCTAACCCTTGTTCTATTGGTTTGGCGGTTGCTACCAAGACGATTTCTTTATGCCCATCAAAGGACCTCGAGATGCTAATCCACGAAAAACGATACGAGAAATTCGAAAGAACTCATATACGGAACGAGGGCGACCCGTGGAAATACATCGGTTTCTTACTCGTGCAAAGGAACTATTTCTTGGCAACTTGGACAACTTATAACGAAGTTTGTCCCGCATATCACTAGGAAGATCGGAATCTTTACAAAAGGCTTTATAAAGCTTTCGTCTCAATTCATATTTAGCCGCGAGCAATCTACGTTTGTGATCTCGTATATTTCGCTTCTCCGACATCTCTTACTGGGTTTCCCCCTCATCTTTTTGCAAAAAGCCGCTCCACGGTGGTAAAGTCTCATCTTGTGTGTTGGCCGAAGTGACAATAGTCACATTGAACCCTCGAATATGTTCGAAGATCTCGAAATGATCTTCCAGTTCCGGGGAGAATTCGCAAAACTCCGTTTCCATCGAGAATTGAATGGAGTTTTCCCGTATTTCGACCGGAGAATCTAACAGAGACATTACTGTCGAGATTCTGACCGAAAAATTAGACATTCCATGCCCTCGGAGAGTGCTTTGTCGTGCTAGGTCACTGACATATCCTTTGTCTTTATTTGCCCCCAAGAATGGATTGGATCGAAACGACTTTCCTGTCGAACCCCTTTGTGTCTGTATGAATTTCTGACCGCGCGGAATCTCCATAGCCAATTTTCCATTTTTTTTTATGAAATCATAGGGTGCTTTTGGTACTACTCTTATTTCAAACGATCCAGGAACTTCCATAACGTTGGCGTGATTCGGTTTGAGCAACGGATCCTGACGTGATACATCTTCGTAATGAAAATAGAGTGGAAACATGAGTTGGCTTTTACATAAAGTATCTATAGAATGAGCACTGTTAACTATCCGCTTCAAAAAGATAGATAGTTGGTTGAATGAAAGAAAAAAACGAATCATATCTAATCTAAAAAGAGATGAGAGTTCTGGACGGCTCGGATCACACGCTGATAGGGAACGCTTTCCCTCGTACCAAAATGGGCAATTTGGGTAAGATAACTCGCGTAAGCGTCCTCACTAAGGGCACGTCCAGTCGGGGAGAAAACAAAGCCCCGGATCAGATGTCTTTTTTCTTTTAAACTGTGAGGGGAATACCCGTCCTCCACAAGTGCGGACTCAATATGTTTCTCGATTTGAAGCTGAGTCGTGACAATGGAGTCTAGGTTTTGATCGTATATTTCCCCCCACAGGACCATCCTTAAGCGCTCAGCGAGCTCCCTTCTTCGGGTGGCATCATCCAGCAGCGGAGGCTCCAGTTCCTGATTCACGCTAGCTTCGCTGGATTCGCCCGAAGATGGCATCGGTTCCAACAAGACACGTTCCTCGAAACTTCTCAAGCCCGAGGTCGATGCGCCTGAAGGCACGTTGGCGGGTTGCTCCGCTGCAGGATTGGCAGCAGGTTGACCTCCTGCCGGATCCATCATGTGCAAGCTGGAACCTACTACCGAACCGACGATACAATCAAGAACAAAAAAGGGAACCTCAAAACCAAGAAGCCGACTAAAGAGGAGGCGGAACGATCTCAAAAGGAGCATGGATTTCAGTTTGACCCAAAGAAGACTGAAATCCAAGCCGAGTACAAGACAAAAGGAGAGGCATACAGTACATATGACAAGAAGGAAAAATACCCTTCTTGCAATGCCTCTACTTGATCTTACCGAAATCGGATTTCCTTTGCGTGCCATATGCGCCTTATTTTGACTTTTTCTCCTTTTTTCTTCCCGCTTTAATATTTGTTCTTGAAAGTCTTCGTTTCCGTGTAGAAGCAAACTCTCCAAATTTATGACCAACTTTTCCTTCAGTGATCTTAGAACGAACAGGACTTTTTCCATTGTAAATTCGTACGGAGCAATTAACGAATTCCGGCAAAATAGAAGATCTACGTGACCAAATTTTCCTGTTCAAAAGAGGGTCTGTCTTCTTCTTCATTCTCAACAGGAATGCATCAACAAAACTGCCCTTCCATATAGATCGTCGTGGCATGAACTCAGAATTTCTTCGCTGCGGTCCCTACTAAAGCTAGCTCCTACTCCTCCTCCTGCTCCTTCTTCATCCTCGTTGGTTGGTCCTTTTGACATAAAATTCTCGTATCGGCCGCTAAAGAGATTTATAGCCAGTCTCTTTCTCTTAGCTGCTCCACTCCTCTCGCTATCGCTCGAGCGACCCATTACGTTAGAAGGCCTCTCTATACGCAATTAGTTTTTTGTGCTTTGTGCTGTAATAAGAAAGATGTTGCTATTCTACGATGTGGCGTTCCAGAAAGACTCACTTATTTCTCATTCACACCGACCAGCTAGTGCGCTGTCACTTGGTATCGGATCTTTTCTAAATGATGAATTTGCCCTTCGACGGGTACTCCTAAAACTTCTATCTACCTACGTCATTCTTTCTTTATCTTTAATAAGTCAATTTCCCACGGTCAAGCCTAGTGGAGCTCCTAGTCCGACAAGACTAGCTTTGACCACGAAAGAGAGAACAAGGCTGAAAAGAAGCTTTCTTCACTTTGACGATCCGTGGATGCGTAGTTTGAAAGTCTTTCCACCTGAACCTTTTTTCATTAGAAATGGCTTCAGACTCGACCTGAAAGGTTCCAGTTACATCTATTGGACCAGACGGAAATACAAGCTTTCTTGTAGCATGCATGGGTTCGACGTATTCTTTTGCTTGAATTCGACTAGATCCCTTCCCGCCTAGTAGTTCTCACTGGTAGGCTACCGGGCAAACTCGGTGGAGCCGCTGGTGCTTCTTTGTTTCTTTATCCATTCCACTTTCTGTAAACCCCTGACTCTGTGTCTCGCGCTTTTCAGCCTGAATGGAATTCCCGTAATTCTTTTATGAAACTACATACCTTGCCTCAGGGAACTACACTAATGAGGAATATCATATCCTACCAGGCACGATCGAAAGGATTTAGGGCACCTTACTTATAAGGCCCGGACTTGCCAATACGGATGAGGGACGACCCAGAGGATATCCGTGCAGAAGCAGAAGCTCGGTACGAAATGGCGACGGAAAAACTTCAGGGGGAAAACGCAGCACTTATGGTCTAATGATCTGCAAGAGGGGTCACCTCTCCCAAGGATCATCACTACGAGACTTGAGCGTCAGCGGAGTTGCCTCTCGCTAACACTCGTCGACCACGCTTGGTCTCCTCAGAGACCCAGTCTACAACTCGAAACATAACACCGAACCGAAAAGTAGACAAGTCTACCTTAGGCCGATGCCAGGTTCGAATGTAGACCGGCGGATCGATGAAATCTCGCAAATCAGCAGAGGGATTCAGGGCTACTTTGCAATACCAACTAAGGTATTTAAGATAGGACCGCATCCACCCTTGATACAGAGACCATTCAAGAAAGTCTCTGAATCCTGGGTACGGAAAGTGACCGAGTGGAGGTTCAACAGGCTCACGTGGCACAAAGTGTTCACGAAGCCGTTGGATAACTGCTCCTATCACTTCCGGTGACGGGACATATCCTAACACAACAGATAGCCAGAGAGTCGCTGGCAACATGCCATATAGCCGCATAGCTATAAGTATCCTAACACGTATTCCGTGCTTCGTCGACCCTAGCGGGCGCGATGCCGCCTTAAAGCCGATGCCACCAATCGGGTAGAAACCCTCAAAGGCCTATCTGCAGTTAACATAAAGTTATACCAGCCGATAGGGTTAAGGGTGGTAAGCAACTTCTTAATGGATACAGGACTTACATCGTCTCTGCATCGATTAAGGAGAAATCGCTTTGCGTATTCACACGCCCCCGATCTCGAAATAAGGGATTTCGAAATCGATATATCGACTCCGAGTTTACTTAGTAAACTCGAATACTCCCTAGCCACGTCATCATCAGCTATGACAATGTCATCGCCTAAGATGGCGTAGCTCTGAAACTTAACCCCTGGATGACACTGTTCAGCGCAATACCACACCAACATGTGATGTGATAAAGCGAACAGGGGCCAAGAAGAGTAGTATCCGAGCGGTTGGCCGGTTATGAATGACACACTACGATGCTTTCGAGCATCAGTAAATGTGACATCAAACAGGTTCGTAGCTAGGGTCGAATTAACGACGCTAGATGCGAACGACCGATGCCTGCATAAGCTCAAAGAGGAGAAGAAGCGGCCACCTATCGGTAGCAGCCTTCAAATCTAGAGAGTATACAGTCGACGTAACTCCCGCAAGTCTTCTCAATGGTGCCATTTGGTCAAACGTACCATCTGTTGCCAAACGTCTGAGGACGCTGGCACACCATTGATGGACAGGATACAATAACCGCTGGTTTACATAGTTTCCTATGGCAAACAAGCGTCTCTTCCCATCTCCAGAGCACGTAGCAGAAAGTCTACCGGAACACATGGGTATGCCGAGCATATCAACTGTAGGCAAGAGAGGACCTATGCGCCCCTCAAAGAACTCCAGTGATATCTCTGTAAGGTATTTATTTGCCTTATCAAAAGCATACCTCGTGTACTCCGGCCACAGCAACCCTTGAGAAAACTGCTCGCCGCGCGCGTGCACAAACTGCACGAGTGAGGCAAAGTTAGCTAACTCATAGGGGAAGCAACTGAAACATGAGGCTTGAATCTTCTTGCCATCAGGATCAGAATGCTTATTAAGCCAGACCGAAGTTGGTAAAGACTTCCACGTCGGTTCAAATCTAATCCCTTGATTAAGAGGAATAGACCGAATCGACGGGACGTACCGAAGCATCAGCTGGCGCAGTAGAGGTCTCATACTAGATGCGACTTCTTCTACTAAGCCAATATTTCTAGGTGGATCAGTAATAGACGAAAATGTCTTCTTACTGACCTTCGCTGCCAAAGGTATCACCTTTGACAGAGAAAACAGCGACATATACATACGTATACATAGCTGATCACCCTGAGATATCCGTCTTCTATGAAATGACGGGATGATGCGCGGTAGTCCACTCCGTGTTAAGGAGACTGAGGGCGTCATGCCCGTTGGGGGTTTATCCCCAGCGGCGAACTTCTGAAGTGCAACTCTCGCCTGCTTTATATAAAGCGCAGTAAAGATCCACCCAGAACGTTTCTGCAGACGCCTCACAGCGACCCAGAACAGGTGAGTGGCTATACACCACTCCTTGGTCAGACCATCAGTGAGAAAACGCAGCACTGATGTCTGCAAATGCAAAATAAATGGAAGGTCAAGCTGGAGAAAGCAAGGAAGAATGCTCTTCAGCTTACTTTTGACGACCTAAACCAGCGGCTCAACGCAATCTTATTCAAACTATGACAGAAGAATGTGAAAGGCTAGCGATTGAGTGCCAGAGGCTGAAGTTCGAGGATGAGTCCCTCCATGGCAGTTCTATTATCGAAGATTTCCTTGCGCTGAAGAACCCACTTGACGCTGGCTTCGATAATAGGCGGATCGACCCGCGGGAGGTGTTCGAAGGAGCTGCTCCTGAACCCAAATTAGCCAGTCAGGATCTTGTTGATTTAGTGAATATAACAGGTTGAGTCCATTGACTTAACCCAACCGGTAGTTAAACCCAAGAGAGAGGCCTTATCCCACAAGCAGACGGAATATAAATGCCAGAAGCTACGCAGGAACGGTAAATCAAAATTACTGAGGTAGTAAGGTGGCTTAGCTTACAAAAGGAACTGCTGATATATCTTTTCTTTATATTTAGCCTTAAACACAAACACAGAATATATATTCAGAGTATACCTAAAAAAAAAGCAACTAGAACGAGTTCGATGAAGGGCTGAGCCTCACCTGCTCGAGAACCGGAACCTAAAACTAGTTATCTAGAACTTATCAGCTTCATTTTCTAGAGCTAGAGCGCCAACTGATATACCAGAAAAGATGTCATCATAACCTATCACTTCCAGATATGCTATTAGATAGGCCCAGAGAGAGATCTATGCGCTCA